CAGCAAACTCGTAGAATAGAAGGGTATACACTATCGATGTAAGCGCCAGATGGGCAATAGCGGAGTGCAATTGAACGAAAAATGAAAACAAACATTGAACGGTGAATATTCAACATATAAAGAAGATTTTTTAATCATTGTTAAATGAATTTTTTCGTACATGAAAAAATCTACTTTCATCTATAACATGCGAAATTTCTCGGTATATTTAAATATATTCGAAAAATGATAATGGAAAACATAATACAAATAAATATGTAAAAAGAAAATATTAATACTAGAACGGGAAACTGTATACAATATCAGTAGAAAATTTCAAATATAGCCCCGGAAAGGTTACAAATACTATTTTTAACACTTCATATATTTTTCAATATATTCTTAATCAGAAACCCGGTTTCAATGTGGGTCAGTCATTGATATTTAGAAACTCATTCAAAACTATGATGGCATTGCAAAAGTCAATTTAAGACAAAGCTGTAAAAAAAAATTTTTTGATTAACGGACCCGAAGATCACGAGCTAATTTTCATCTCTCAGATTTGAAAAATTCGCTTTGCTGTTGGCGTAACTCTTCTAAAAACTTGTTAAATTTAATGAGCATATTCTAAAATATATACAACAACCCATGGGTACTTGTAAGGACCCGAGTTGATAAAACAGACTTTATACCAGACAAATGTTTCAGTTATTTTTTAACGGTACTTATATCTAAAATCTCTTTTATGCTTGGCGCACATTTTTGTACAGCCCAGGAGGAGGGGGCTGTTTTGGATGAGATATCACGATTATTTGTACATATCAACTAAAAAGGAATATTAAAAAAAATAGGCTATTTAGAAAATACTTTAATTATTTGTATATTCGCGCTCGAGCAAGATTAAATTGTTACCAACTTTATAATCCGTTAGTAAGGGAACTTCATAGCAATCAAAAACTCTGATCAACAACTTCATAAGAAAAAATGTATGATTGCTCCATGAATAAACTCTCATTTTACTCAATTCTTGCGCAACAAAAATTTTTCAATTTCGTATATTATAAATGAAACAATGATGCTACTTCGTAGTATGCTTAATCGAAAGCCAACAATTGCTTTCCGTGCAAATTCTTACTTCCAGCTCATGTTTATGTTATAATAAGGAAAATATTTTAATTTTAAAAATTCTAACCTGCAAAAATCATCCTATAACATGTATAGAGACACGGTAGTTCCTCGTCGTGACGTAAGAGCAAGATGGCGGCGATTTATGCTTGGCGCACGAGACACTACCGTATCTCTTTAAATTACGATAATAAATGAATTCAATTGAATACAAATTTTCAACAACATTCAAAAAATATGCTCCATACATGCAATGTGATGAACTACTGCTCGAAGTCAATAGCATTTTTCTCAAATTGATCTAGTTGTCTGATCTGCATGTCAAAAATCATACAATAGTCGAACTGTAATAAAGCTTTTGTCGAGAATGTTTTTTTTCTTTTTAACAACGAGGTGAACAGGTGACTTTTGTCTATGAATAAATTGAAAATTTTTTAAAACATTTGCGTGGCCCATAAAGGTAGATCCATCTGATTAATCAACATCTTTTAAATAGATAATGTTCAAGAGAGACCAATGCACGGAGATAAAGTGGCCTATAGGTACTTATGAGGACTTACACGAATTAAAAAAATATTTTTACTAAGAATGTCTCCAAATAAACGTTTTACAGGAATCAAGGACATTTTTGTCTTCTAATAATCATTTGATTTTTATTGATGTCACGAAGTTCTTAAGTAATTGTTTCTTCAATAAATCAAAATTCGTTTCTCGTCACCATGTCCTCAGTCGTTTCAGTTTTCTATATACACTTATGAATTATTATCAAACTTGCTCTTTATCACTTCGTATTTATAGCAGCGTCGCGATATAGTGCTCAATTTATTTACTGGATAGTATTGGACGTCTGTCTTTTTTTTTTATTACTATATATTCAATATTAGAGTTGATAATTCGATTTTACTATACATACTATCATATACCAGTATATCCCTTTATACTTTTCGTAAAATTTCCGGTTTTATCGGGACCGTCCTCGTATCCACCGTTGCTAATTTTATAGGGACCGTTCTCATAAATACCCTTTTTGATGGTTGATTATGAGTACCGTCCTTATAATCCCAAAATGTCCTCACAAGTGCCGCGAAATCTTCGTTTCGGTCCCTGTATCCACCCTTCTATAATGAATAGCGTTCAAGGTTGAAACAAAAATCAAGCTTGCCACTATACCTGTTGTGACGTGGAGTAGCAGGTGATTTTCTTATTAATAAATTCGCGGTAGGTTTTCCCTGCGAAAAAAAGCACAATAATAACCAATAATTAATTTTGAAGGTTTTAGATTTTATTAATATTCTTTCATTGATACCGGCTAGCTATTTTATAAATAATCATAAAAACGTAACAGAAAATACTCGAGAACAATTACTCTTAATGTGGACTGCGCTTCAACTAGTGAATTACTTTATCAATTCAATTAGACCCCAAAATAAGTATTTGTTAGTCTTACTGCCTCTCGCAACGTGTTTAAAGACTCGAAAGAAGTCCTAAACTTACACTTCTTACTCCGGAACGCCGTTTAATTATATTTATGTAACTTCCTTAAATCCCTGAGCAAAAATACGTCGGGTAGGCAATGATGATTTATTACAATATTTTCTATGACTCCATCAAGGTCGTCACAGTAATAGTTTATAACTCGCCAGTCGCTAAATTACGGATCCCTTATAAATTGCTCTCAAGGTTTATGTACGCTACGTGACCAATTTTATAAGGCAAATAGAATTTGTTTTATCATGAAGAGAGTTACGCAGACTACCCAGAGCCTCGCAAGATAAACTTGAACGACAAGATTCATTATAGTGTATAGAACAATTTACTCTCAATATTCTCGGTAATGGACACGAGAATTTCAAGCTCTATTTCTTAGCTTGGCAAAATGATTAAATTAATAAATTTTACAGCAATTCAACAATGTGTGACAATGCTACCAGCCTCCCAACGAGTTTTGGTGACACCACCCGCCTTACTCAGCGTTGTCGCAAATAAACTAACTACGGCGTTCCTTAATCATGCTAGAAGTCTCAATTGCCAAAAGAGTAACAACAGTTTACAGATCCTGCTTCCCACGTTGATCCGGTGAGTCCCAAGATAGCTGACTTCCTTGGCTAGCGGTGCTCTTTTGTCCTATACTGCAGTCGCTTTTGTCAGCTTCTCTTTACTTCTCGGCTACTCCCAGCCCCCAAGAAGTTCACAGCTTCCACCAAGACAATAAGTGTAGCACAATAGCACACGAACGTTTGCGTTTCACAGAATGTTTTTGTTAGTGACGGACTTCGACAACTTGTCTGGTGCACGGTTCCGCTCGAACTTGTTCTCGAGATAAGACAAAGTGGCGTTCCCGTTGTGACCTCATGGAAAAATGTCCTAACGCCCTCATAAATATTCAATTCATCGATATAGAGTTAATCCATAGATGACGGTCGGTATTTATCGACTGCTGTCGCGGTGAACAATTATATCAGCTGTTCACCGAATGCTGAGAGGATAAAGGAGGGGGGGGGGTGATGCTCACAACGTTACAAGGTCAATGGCTTTAGATTTGTGTACTCAATAACAAACGGAAAATTACTATTAAGTTTTCGAAGTATTACAGACTGAAATAAAATATGGAATTTAAACAAATATCAATTGTACATGGAGTTGAAAATTAAATAAATACATGATTCTCGTTGAATTCATGTATAAGTATGAAGATTCGAGGAGGACGCTTAGCAGCGTTCGTAGGCTCTCTGGGGTGGTAATAGTATGAATTATGCGTCTTTATAGTATTTAGATAATTGAAAGATATTTCTATGATGATACTGTAGCAGACAGACGTGCGAGAAATCTTCGTAGACTTGTTTTGTCCCAAATTGATCTTCCAAAGTCAATAATTGTAGTCAAACCGGCCAGTTGTGATAGTGGAAGAGAAAAAATTGACAGGGCTCTCTGTTTATGCGTCTATCCTCGGCAACATCTCACGGCGGAAGAGAACGAGTGTCGCAAATTAGGAGACTTCGTGGATAATTGAAAGGACATCTGTCCTAATTTCTCTAACTAGGCTGGTTACGTGATTATAATTTGAGAAAATAGGTCACACCTTACAATCTTCAGAAGTCTATTTTATCCTTGAGAACTGCGTATTCGCACAAAAAGATGGATACTTTCTGTTGCACGAGAAACTAAAATTGTTGCTTGAGTTAATTTCTTATACTGTCTAAGAGCTGAATAAAAATGACAGCAGATGAGCTACACCGTAGAATGTGGTCAGGAGAGGTACACACACACACAAAAGACACTTTTATTGAGCTTTATTATAATTTTATTGGCAAAACTAAACTCTTTATCAGGTTAACAATGAATCATTAACACTAGTAGAGTTTTTAAGAACTTTTTCGAACTTGGATAGAGCTTAGCACAATTATTTAATGAGAAAACAGAAAGAGCGGTAACAGAGCACGTGTCCTAGAGCGTCGCGTAAACATTAATGGCTGCAAACACGTTGTAGCCGACGTCGGTAGACCTAGCACAATAGTAGAACAACGATCATTGGCTAGGTTGGAGAAGACGAGCTGCAATTAGTTGAGCGCTGAAAGAAGAGCTAGGATAGAGCGAGCAGATCGGGTGAGCTCGACTGAGCACGAGTTGGAACGAGAGCTAGTCCAGCTGACAGGTTGCGATTAACCTCTCGTAACACTTTCTAAAATTTGATGTAAAATTACATTCATCAGCTGTAAAGAATGGGAGGTGATGCATCAGAATATCTTCGTTGTGAGTAATCGCTACTATGCGAAGCGATGAAATGTTATTTTATAGAATTTCACTAGATTTTTTATTTACTAAAATAACTTTTTATTGATAATCAATCATTTATATTATATATATTATCCTCTAATTATTCTTATACTCTTAAACAGATCCAAATTTTCGGATTCAATTCTGAACTGTATAACAATTATTCGGATGCACTCCATAGACCTCAAGGAACTGTTGCCATATCGTTGTTATTACAAGTGAGTAGGACGAATCAATTATGACATAGATCTTAGTTAAAGCCCGGTCGATTCTAATTAGAGTATTGCTATTTAAACTTCTTTAAATATCATATATGTTTCAGGTTGGCGATCTTTCGAATCCTGAACTGAGAAAATTTACCGATAAATTGAATGATGTAAAATACAGAGGTAAAATATGTATTCATTTTCATAAAATGGAATTTTTCAAATGACAAATTTTAAATTGGTGTATGTAATAATCTCTTTTGAATGAAACAGGTGAGATGACAGAAATACCTCGCTTTGTTGTACGCGAGTTACTACCAGATACGAAATATTACATGACGTATGAAGGTTCTATAACGATGCCTGCATGCCATGAAACAACAACGTGGATCATACTCAATAAACCGATTTATATAACAAAACAACAGGTAATCGTCGTAAACTAACATTCAGATAAAAAAAGAATCATGAAATATGGTAGTATATATAAATTGTTGCCATCTCAGTTGCCATTTTACCCTGATAAGTTATTACCGTGGCTCTGAACAACTTACAAAATGACTTATGCAGTTTTCCCTTGACAAAACAAATGTTTTTTTTCTTGATTATCTCAGAAATATATTTTTATCTATTATAAAAGAAAAGAATAAAAATTTTGTAAAACCCATACTAAGCGAAATTCGAGTAAAAAAATCAGAAATATAAAATTAATGAAATATTTTCTAAACAAAAGGAATATTATTTTGAGCAGTCGAAATTGTTATGGACTGTATTCTTTGAGTAAACTAAAAGAATTCGATAAATTTAATAGCACAACTTAACATTTATCAACGATTGTTCACTCGACATAGTCTAATCAATGTGCTTGAAGAATTTCAACGTTTTCGAATATCAACTAATTAAGGTCAACAATCCAATGAAAACAGATTTTTGCATTAAAGACGCTATATCTATACTAGCTTATTCCTGCGATTTTGTTCAAATGCATACTATTTGTCTGATATAAACAATAATTAATTGGAAGATATAATGAACAATAACTCAAAATCACGTTATTAAAAATTTTTCTATCTGACTGAAAAAATTTCTTATTCATTGTAAACGCTCTATGGAACATTATTGCTTTATAATAATAGATTGATTAAGTTGAGTTTTAAATAATAGCTTCATAGTTTAGATAAACGAATTCGATACGTATCGTTAGTAGATAAAGGTTTTTTCCAATCAACTGAATAAATGACACAGTTTTAAATTTTTGGGCATTAACTTCATCAGTTTATTATTCTCTATACCCGACAACTGGTTCCTACGCAGAAGAAGTCTCGGTAATAAACACATTGATATACTTAAATATATTACTTCATTATTTTCTTACGTAGGAAAATCTTCCACCTTTTATAAGTGGAATTAGATTTTTGAAATTATTATTTCAATTCACCGACAAATAGTAGCGGCAAACAAATTTTTCTGCAGTCCATATCCATCATGCATAGAAATAAACACCACGATTTGCTGTGTAATCAGGTATTCGTTAACTGTATATCCATTTTTTTCTCTCAAATATTTTTTTGGTCACTCTTTTGAGTTTGAGACGGATAGTCCTTGTTTTCCTGTCCTGAGAAGGACATTTTATTTGAGTACCTCGCCTCATTGGGCATAATTCTGGGGATGGTTCAACTTCTAGTGGTGACGGTATTACTTCGGACGTGATATTCTCACCTTTCGAAATATGGGGAAAATAGTTATTTTTAAAATAAGAATTGTGTCTATAGTGATGACTCCACTATTTGTAAATTTTCAATTGAAAATGGCTGATAGTCAAACACATGTTAGATTGTGTAACATTTTTTTTCTGCGTCCTAAAAGGTGTACATGAAACGCATCTTTTTTCAGGTGTGAATCCTGATCAAAACCATCCCTGCGAAACTATGTCTATTTCATCGAAGGCGCTAAGTTATTTGTATTTACCAAAACGACTAAACTGGCATAACTTGAGACTAATGCCAACTTAAATCTAAACTCAATATTCCAAAACTTTATAACTAAGTCGAAATTCACGAAATATCCTAAAAATTTCAATAACTAAAGCTAAATCTCAGACTTAGATCTAACTTAACTGTGGTTCTACAACAATCACGATCTGAATGAAATAATTAATAGGGTAAGTTAAAGGTTCTAAAATGTATAAATGATCCATAATCCATTATGGAACGAACAAAGCTTTTATAGAGCGCTAGCAGTGTTACTGGATTGGATCCCTACCATGTGCCACGTAGATACTTGATGATATTCAAGGCACGTTGACATTTGCTGTGGATGACTTGGAGATGGTCTTTAAAGGATAGTTAGTAGTCTATTATGATTCCTAGAAAACGAGCTTTGTTCGTAGAGCCGATAACATACTCATTGATGGAAATATTTACACTTCCCGGCTTGATGTTTTGTTTATTAAAGTGGATGAGAGAGGTTTTACTCGGAGTGAGATCAAGTCCTGCTCGCCAAAGATTTTTTTTAATGATTACTATTGCGTGTTCCAGTAGAAGACTTCTGATACTCCTATTATTTGGATCACATGTACAATATAACAAATGTCATTTGCGAATTATAAAACAGAAATGGTGTGAGGCACGTTCACGGCAATATAAGAGACGTGAAGCATATATAATAGCGGACTTAGTACTGTGAGACTTCCTTATAGGTGGACCTAACTTCATCCCCAAGCTGACCAATCTTGATAAATCTCTCATATGTGAGGAATTTGATAGCAGTTTCTCAGAGCACCCAATGGAGGCTAGTTTCTTAATCAGGATATTTAAGTTGACATTATCAAAAGCACCTTCAACGTCCAAAAAGGCTGCTTGGACTTCTTCTTTATGTAGAAACGCGTTATCAATAGATAGAGAGAAAATGGCAAGGTTATCAATGCATGACTTTCCTTTCCTGAATCCATGTTGAGAGGCTGGTAGATGTCCATTAAACTCAGCCCACCATTGGAGTCTGTTTTTGATAATAGTTTCGAAGAGTTTGCATACGCAGGTGGTAAGGGCTATGGGTTTTAGACCTACACAATCAGCATTAATTGTGAAATGAATAAAGAAGAGTTTCCAGCAGGTTGGGTAGGATCCAGTAGCGTATAGTTCGTTAAAAAAATCTAGCAGCAGGAGCTTATATTTTATAGGAAGATTATTGATGACTTCATAGTCAACTCCATCTACCCCAGGAGCTGATCCAGCTTTTTTGTTATGCAAGGCTACATTGAACTCAGTGAATGATATGTAGGAATCCAGAAACTCATTTTCTTGATGTGCGGGAAGCCACTCAGGGTCCGATGGAACCCATACTAGAAACCAGGCTATTAGTAATTTGCTGAATGAAGAATTTATATTTTTGCTTGAGTTCTTCATAGCTGGAGGAGAGAAAATCATCATAAGATTCATTTAGTAGCTTAGCAAACTTGCTCCAGTCAGTTCGAAGAGATTCAAGTTTAAAGGTTTTTTTTCTGTATTGACTTTTTTCCACCGAGACGTTGATAAAGATTGGAAAGTGGTCTGACCGTCGTAGTTCATCATGAACCTTCACCCAGAGTTTGTCAGCGAGATTTGGTGACGTAAAAACTAGATCAATGTTGAACTGCCTATTGTGACGAGGATCGTGATGAGTGATGGAATTCACATTGTATAAGAAAAGGTCATATCTCTTAATGGCCTCTGCGAGCTTTGACCCATTTGAATCTGAAAAATAACATTTCCAGTCAATATGATGAGCATTGAAATCTCCCAAAAAAATGCAGTTTTTTCGACCATAAGCATTTTGAGTTAGTGAGCACCACTGCTTGGCTGTTAGAGTGTGACCCGGCTGTCTGTAACAAGCGATGGTATCTAGAGGTGGGGATGTATTACTGACCTGTATGCTACATATTTCAACAGATTGATCAGAAGAAGTAATGTTCCCTAATTCTACAATGACGATGTTCTTGCGAATCAGAATAATGATACCTCCACCTCTGCCATAGGTTCTGTCCTTTCTATAGGAAATAAATCCTGGGCATGAAAAATTATTTTCAGGAGTTAACCATGTTTCAACACATACAATGATGTCTAGGTTAGCACTAAGATGAACGAGGTCTAGATGACGTAGGTTAATGCTTCTCGCATTCCATAGGAAAATTCTGAGAGTTGAGTGGTGATAATTAGAAAGAGTAGCCATCGCTATTAATAATTATAATAATGGACGGAAAGAAAGAGAATTCCTATTTTTAGAAGAGTAAGAGACGAAAAATTGACAGTTTATTGTGATGTATGATCTGTCTGGCTGGAACAGATCTCTGTATCATCCAACTCCATGTGACTACAGTCAAAGGCGTAGGCTTCCGACATTTCTCAATCAGAACTAACTGAGCCAGCTTCGAGTTTGTTGATAAGCCTGGTAAACCTGTTCTTGAGATTTTCGGTAGGAAGGTTGAGGCACAATTTCCTCATTATCGAGACTAGTTCCGTTGAGTCTAGCTTAAGTTGAATTAGGGATTCACCTATATTTTGTTGGGCATATGCTTTGTTGAGGAACTCTATAAGTTGGACGTAGCTGTACCTATAATCGTCAGGGTTATCATTGATAACAGTTTCTAATTCTGGAATATACAAAGGAATTATGGCATTTTTAATTTTCTTTACTAGACGACGTGTGAGAACTTGAGTTGGCTTGGAATAATTCATCAGCAAAAGAGGGAGAACTGCTTTCAGGTAGGCTAGGCGTCATATCTGAGCGTTGTCGATTATTTGGAGCAGAAACATCAGTAAAGTTATTTTGTGCCTTGTTTCCGTTTGCCGGTTAGAGGGAGGGATAACTTTATGGGAGTCGAATACTCATTCTCATTGTCTAAGGTGTTTGTTTGCTTACTTGGAATAATCTTAGTGGTCGTCATGGTTGGTTGAGTCTGAGAGATTTCTTTGGACTTGTCATTTGACGGGCATGCTTTTGCAATGTGAGCCTCACCTTTACAATGAAAGCACGTTATGTTGTCGACAGATGGGTAGATCCAGTAAGTCGTATCATCTACTTCAAGTTGGAGAGAGCTCGGTATTTTTTCCACGTCCTCGGGTTTGATATAAACCTGCCGCCTAAAACTTAAAATATGTTGGAATCCGGGAAGGTTAAAACCCGCCCGTAGTGTTGTGATTTTTGAGACGGCATTGATTTGAAGATCTCGAAGTTTGTTTTCAATTAGTCGATTGGTAATTACAGGATGGACATTGGAAAGTATTACTCTTTTATTGTGGGCAACTAATGGGCGGATACTCAGTGTGTGCTCTAGTATGACTATGTATTTGTGTGTTTTGACCAATTCTTCAGCTATTTTTTCACTTGCTAGGTAGGTGCAAATTCTATCATTTAATATTCTGGATATGTGTCTTAAATTTTCTAGGCGGCA